TTTGATAATTTTTATAAACTTTTAGGTCATTTTATGCTTTTTATTACTAGATTTATCTCTTATTTTAATTATTAGATTTATATTTTAATTTTTTTTATTAAATACCCACTATTTGTCTATAGCGGCCGCTACGCTACCCGCTACACTATCATAGCGGATTTCGGCCTTTCCGCTATTTGCCGCTATCTGCTATTGATAACACTGGTTCACCCTATAAAACATACACTATAATTATATACTCATCCCCAAAGTTACCTACCAAAATCTAGGCATATGGTTGCACAAAAGTCAATTTTATCTTTCATACCAAACTCATATGATGAGAAATAAGCAAAGCCAACTAAGGACTTCTATCAGGGGAAAAAAAAAAAAGTTTTTTTGCAAGAGAACTTGCCTTTCCTTTAGCGATGATAAATAGCGATCAAGACAACCCTGATGTACTGCATGCCCACATGATGAAAGATAAATCCCATCACAATCTACAGGAGAAAATCCATCATAAACAGGAAGCTTTGAAATGGATTCCCTATCAGAATGAGTTTCCAAACATGAAGGACTTTCACTCTTCACTTCTGGAACAGAAGTAATGTATTTCCCAGCCATGATAGATTCAGTATCATAGCGGCTTTCTTGACAACTTTCAGCAGCAGAGTATTTTTCATCCTTTTCAATATTTGTAATTAGCACGCCATCATGCATTCCTTTCCTAATAGGTTCATACATATCTTCTTCCAATTTTTCAAAGGTATATACATGGTTCTCCACCCTATCACCTGACATGCTCGGTTCTTGATTGCTTCCCACCACAGGAAACCAAGACCTGACGAACTCCAGTACAGCATTTACATCCATTTGTGGCTCTTGACCATCAGTGGTAGGCTCAGTAGCTACGTTTTCAGTTAACTGCACCAACGGAGAAGCCAAACTTGAACCACTGGATGAGGTATTTTCTCCATATTGATCAACTATATTGTTTATAGGAATAGAGGCATGCGCCTTATCTGACCTATCATCCCATGATGTGGGACCTTTATCAACAAAACTCAAAAGCCTGGATTTCTTTTACCAGAAAACAATAAAACGTCAGTTCTTGAATAACAGGAGGGAACAATCAATTTAAAATTGATATCAAATGACAGCCAACTCACTAACTAATTGCTTACTTGGAGATGAATCAAGAATGAAACAGGACTTTTGGAATTAGGGTCATGGCAAAGAGAGCAAATGTACTGGGCTGCATCTTCTGAGTTGTGCTCACTATCAGAATTGCACACTTCAGATTTTAAATCCTCAGTGTCAGTAGCACTAATATTAGACAAGAATTTGGATTGCTCTGCTTTCATTTTTTCCTACACGAAAAAAAAAAAGAAGAAGTAATAGTGAGAAAATCAATTCCACCAAGGCACAAACTAATCTACCCAGAGCAAATTCTAAGTTAATTCAACCCTTTGTTTTTCCTTCATAAGGGCAACCAAAAACCAGACCACCCAGGATAAGTACAATTTTGGAATGATATCATTGTTTTAACAACAAAATCAGGACGAATATACCAGGCCATTTTAAACATGGAAAATTGAAACTATATGTTTAGCATTTAAGGGAAGCATGCCCATGAAGCTGGCAAATAGATGACTCCTGGAAAATGCTTATCCAATGAAAAACTCATATATGATAGTGGAAAGACATAACACCATCTCAAAATGAGAAAATCCCAGAATACAAGGAAGACACAAGCCTCTCCATTTGAGGAACTTCAGTTTCAAGGAAAATGCACAAACCTTCTGGATTAATTGCCTTAAACACTTGGCTCTAGAAAAGAGAGGCACATTTGTACACAAAGGCACACGGAAATGAGGAAATTAATAGGAAAATAAAAGCTATCTTAAGAATCCAAATAAAATATAAGCTACAAGAATCACCATCATTTTAGGTAGTCTGCAGTGAAAATCAAACCGACATCTTACACCCTGAAGTCAAAAGCTATAATAAACTATGCTATGCAATACAAAATCAATATTTTGTCATTGCAGAAAGATATTAGAGTAAGCTCTATACCAAATTGAAACTTGTGATAACTAGAGGTTATTGACAAGGCAGTTGAAGGGACAGTTGAAGGATGGAGGCAATTTTATGTATCTAAGATGCATGTTGTTGATGTCAAGCCCATTCTTGGACAACAGGTTTCCTGGCTCTAAGGATATATATCACCTGTACCAAACTAATTCTATTAACTTCCGGCAGGAATGCTGATTTCCTTTTGTTAAGGCAGCATCATCCTCAAAGACATTACCATGCCATATCCAAATATTAAATCTTGGACCCACATGCCACCAACCAAAACTATCTAGATTGCATCACTCTCAGCTCAAGTAAAGAAGGAAAAAAAAAAAGTAAGTTGTTGTTGCTTCCCCATGATTATTTTGTAATTATAAGGAGAAATTATCCAAAGAGAAAAAAAAGGAGTGGGATCACCAAGATCCTTTACTGTTCAAATTAAACTATCTACATCTTCACCTCATTCCCACTTAAAGAGGACAAGTCTTTCAGTTTTATTTATAAAACAAATGCACACAAAAAAGGCAAATTCTCACCAACATTGCAGCCTGCCTCTCTCGTGCTTTGGCCTTGCGCTTCTCGATATCAGAACCTGGGCCAGTGAGATTTGTACCACAATTTGGAACTTTTGGTGATAAATTGCCAACCACTTCAGGTGCAAGATTTTGCCGTTTGGTTATGCACTGAGAATCAATTTCAGCAAACTTCTTCAATAAACTTTCAATCAAAGGAGAAAAACTGCAGTTGCCTGCTTCCAAAACATTGTCTGGATTTTCTTTCCTATGCATCCCCATCAACATATCTAGAAGGGACAACAAGCTCGGTTTACCAACACCATAACAAAATGCCTCAGAAATGTCTTCAGCAGCAAAAGCTAGCATGTCAATTGAATCGCCTACATAAGATCCCATAGCACTAGATTGCTTCTGCTGTGAACAGATGTCTAATGCTAATGAAAGTAAGTGCAATGCAGATATAATGATGCCATCAGGAGCACGTGATTCAGAATTTTGATCAGTGAAAACTGCATAAAATAGCACTGCACGGATTATCCTAAGTGTCATTCTACAGGTAGCAATACGAGCTACCCCCTGAAGTGGGGGATATATCTCTCTCCACTTGGGCATCTGTGTGGTCAATGCAGAGACACCACAAAAACGCATGTATCTTTCCTCAGCTGTTTGCAAATCCCTTGAATTCCAACGAGGGTGGTATAAATCCAGCTCTTTCCAATAGGCCCAGCGCAGCGAATACATTCCCTGAGGCACATCAAAATATGGACAATGATCAAAATTTTCAACTCAAAAACACTTGAAATGCAATCTCATATTATGTATTAAACCTGATTGAAGCCAGATGGACTGGAATACACAGCAACACAATCTAAAATTTCCTGAAGCTGGCCACACTTGGAAAGGTCACGAGGTAGAGATTTAACCAACTGACTATGAGTGGTATCTCCAATAGCCAACTTATAGATCAACTCTCGTTTTAGGTTATCAGCAGTAATGAACCCAGAAAATCGCCTTTCTTGCAGAATTTGGATAATAAGAGTGAGCATTTCCTTTACTAAAACTGGTTCATACCTGAAACACAAAGCCCGTTAGCATAATCAGTTAAATGACTGAATCAAATCAACAGAAACTTTTGTCCCAATCATATTGATGACAGCATATAAGCAATTTGAGGGTTAGTTAAGACATACAAATAATGGATTTTTTTTTTCCAATCACAACAACAAGAACTTCATTATAAAAAAATAGATGAAACATTGGAGGAAAGATATAAATATTCCAACCCATTGGAGCTGGACCAAGTGGTAAGGTGTGACATGAACCGTGCTAAAAATGCCAGTTCAAATTGGTCCAATACCATTTGGGTGCAAACAATTCAAATGGGCCATGCTTGCCACCCTTGAAGGGGGAACCTTACCTAGTTCCCATGGACAGACAAGGGTCTGTATAGATACTCATGTTA